TGGGCACTTTCCCATTGAGAATGGGTGACAAATTTCTATGTGGTCATGGACCCTGTGTCTCACCTTGTTGCCTGCTGATGGCAACATCGCTCAAAACATTGCCCCATGTATCATCAGTCTAATACTTGCTTTTCTTAACATTTTTAGTTTACCTCACTGAATGTTCTTTTCTGTTTTCTTTTTTTATTCTTCCTCACTCAATCTTCCAGAGTTTGTGAGGATGATGTCACGCTGACAGAAGCCACACAGAAAGACTTTATTTTCATCAGGAGACTCTGAGAGGGACACATCTGCAGCTATCTGAATGTTTTCGATATGGCTCAAGAGATACCATTTGTAAAAATTAGTTTCATTTGATTTATTAAGCATTATTAAGAGCAGTTTCTCATTTCAATAGAGTAATGTTGTAAAGGTAATGTTTAGTTGGTATTTTCAAAGATATATTTGTCTGATTATGATTGAACTGAATTTGTATAGTGTGCTTCATTAAAAAAAAAAAAATCATTTGATTACAGTGGTTTGTTAATTACCTGTTAATGTCTCTTATCATAGCGAGCAGACTATTTGATTACCTATGAAATCAATTAAAACTGTTTTTTTTTGTTTGCAAAGTTGTGCTTATAGAAATAGAAATGGTAATGTGACGTGTCCAGTTTACGTCATTGGCATCATCTGATGAAGGGTTGTTGACCCTGCAAACAAGCCAGCACCGGCCCTTTACAGGCCCACTTAGGTCTAGCCTAAGGGCCCCCAGCGGGCTGCCAGCGCAAGGCCTCTGAGATTTTGCTCATTGGCAAAACGTTGACCCCTTAGTGCTGGCCCTGCACGGGCAGCCCTCACTTAGCCACACTATTAATCTACAACAGGGGTACCCAACCTGGTCCTGATCAACACACCTGAACCAACTTATTAGGATCTGAAGGAGCACTTGATAATTACAGACAGGTTTGTTTAATCAGGGTTGGAACTGAACTCTGTGGGAAGGTAGATCTCCAGGAACAGGATGCACCCCTGATCTATAGCAATACATCTGTTTCACTTTAAATACTTTTCAGCTACTATAATTTAAGTCTTTGGGGAAAAACAGTTATTATACATCTGAAATGGATGCAGTCACCACATAACTAATATCTATATTGTCAAAAATGTACAGTAGTCAAAGAGATTTCAAATCAATGGATTTAAATACAAAATAGAAAACATTCAATTCAGGTTAATACAGCTACATATAGGCAAAAATATAAATACACAAAAGTGCAAACAAAGCAATGTAAGATTGTAGGATTTCGTCATGTGAAAGTTGATGTGTGTGAAAGTCTTATCTGTAGTACATCAACTTCCAAACACTGTCTGTAGCTGAAGTTGGCTGATAGCAAATGAATAACCCAACCTCTTGTAATGAAAACATGCCACAGCTCACAAATACCTGACTCTTCCTAACCAGGAACAATCAAAAATAGTCCAGACCATGGTCTCACGTCAAAAATAACTTTAAATCCATATTCAAACTGGACCATGATGTGGTGTCCTCACCAATAAAGAATCCTTCTAAAATGCATACAAATACAGTCTTTAACTATTAGCATCAATCCAAACATAGGCCATACATACATGTAACATCCCTGCAAAAACATCAGCAATGTACACTTTTAAACAGAAAAAAAAAAAAAAAAACTCCTTTAGACAAGGCTTGAAATTACACATTTCCCAACCAGGACACAGCACAAGGTGTTCAGCAGGTGAGCCATGCTGGCTACTGCTGCTTGCTATTGC